TATATATAACATAAATTAACTTATAATCTCATTATTTTTCCAAAGCTGGAGGACTTTTTAGGAAAAAAGAAAATCTGTGAGTACACGCAAGTCTCCGGAGTGTAACAACCATTTCTATGAAAATTCATTTTCTCCTAACAGAGCTCTGATCCGAGTCTACTCAGTCTTAACTCGTCGTGACTCAACGTACATCTCCGTCTGCGATCATAACGTACGTAGTACGCTTTCTTTCATTACTGTGTATATTTGGCCTATACATACACATGTATCTACTTATTTATTGTGGATCGATTGTGTTTTTGTTTCATTTTGTTTGGGTTTGTTGAAAACCTAGGGTTTGTGAATTGGAAGTGTTGTAGCTAGTACCAAATTATGAAGTTTGAGTTGAATTTTGAACTTGATTCAATCCTTTGTTTGATTTGTCTTTTTTTACAGGTTGAATTTGTGTTTTGAGCGGAGATTTTTTAGGGAAGATGAGTGAAGTTTTTGAGGGATATGAGAGGCAGTACTGTGAACTCTCTGTCAATTTGTCTCACAAATGCACTTCCGCTGCTCTTTTACCTGATGGAGGTAACTGACTCACTTGAATTCTTTCTTATTCCAAGTTTTAGTTTATGTGAACCTTTTTCGCTTTTCGAGAGTCAATTTAACTAACCTTTGAAGCTAAATTGGATTAGATTAACTCGATGTTTTAAAGTTAAAATTTATTTTTTGAGAAGGAAAAGTTAAAAATTTATATATTCAAAATTAAAAGAAAAGTACTAAGTTGCAATTCCTCTCATGTCAATATGATGAAAAAATGCATTTCAAAAGGTTGATCAAAGCTCACAATGTTTGAATCTCGAAAAGCGAAAAGGTTCACATATATTGGTATGGAGGAAGTATGAATTTTGGGGATCAATGCGGAAATATCAATTCGGGATTTATGCTGACTTAGCTAATAGGTGATATCAATTAGTTAGGACTAAGACTTAGTTTGTGTGCTCTTACATCATTCATTTAAGACTGGTGAAAGAATTTTATGTTAGTGTAGGGATAAGTGTGAGATTCACTTTACTGCTGCAATATTCCTTATAGGAAAAATGGATAAGTGTGAGATTTAGAGAAGCTTTAGTTTTGGAGAACTCCTATTTTGCTTTAAAAGACAAATTATTTTCCAGTATAATTGAAATTAGCCCATATAGATTGGAATATGATTCATATAGCCGACCAGAGGCAGATCCGGGATTTGAACATAATGGGTTTGAGTTCAGAATTCTACCACAGCCCATTGAGTTATTGGATTCGAAATCTATTATTTGTACTTATTTAATGAACTTTAGCACATCTACAGGGTCTGAGCTAAAAGCTAATGGGTTTGGATGAAGGCCATAAGTTGTTATCTAGATCTGCCCATGTAGCCGACCCCAACTAAGAGGGAGTTCTTTGATTGATTTGCTTTATATAAATTCTGCATTCTTATCTATATAGATTTGTTACGCTTCCAATGTTCGCCAAGAACCTTTTAAGTTTGGTTTGAGCTTTGTATATTAGTGTAGAGATAAGTGTGAGATTTTAAGAATCTTTAGGTTTGGAGAACCCTTATTTGCCTTAACAGACAAATTATTCACCAATATTGAAATAAAATGGGCCTGTACAAAGTGGAATAAAAAATGATGATTCATATAGCTACCCAACTAGTGCGGGATTGAGATGTCGTTGTTTGATTGATTGTTTGTCTTTATACAAATTCTGATTTTTATGTATGGTAGTATGCATTTTCCCTAATTTATTTAGTTTATTCTGCTTGAATAAACAACAAAACAACCTTCTAATTTCCTTTTTTGTGTTAAGGCTTTCGTAAGTTGTTAAATGTTTTCTGTTACCACTATCTGATGGATGATGATTATAACTTTGCAACTTCAATAAGCAGAGCCAAAAAAGCAACAGACATCCGAACTTAAAGTGGGATTGGATGATGCAGATGTGTTGGTAAGTCATTGAATTTTAGCTTTTATGCCTCTGGAAAAAGTTCCTTTTTTTTAGAACTGAAGATGAATGCTGGTCTGCGCTTAGATACGAAAAATGGATCTTGAGGCAAGAAGTTTGCAGCCAAGTTTAAAAGCAGCACTACTTGCTAAACTAAGGGAATACAAATCAGATTTGAATAAACTGAAGAAAGAAGTTAATAAACTAGCCTTGACTGGTGCTAATCAAGCTGCCCATGATTTAGAGTCTGGAATGATGGATCCACATGCAGTATGTATAGTAAAACATCCCTTTTCTCCTTTTTTTCTTCTTGTTATTATTTTCATGGATTTCACTATGTCATACATGCTCTCATATCATTTGACTTGAATGATGTATTAGCATTTGCCATAGACACGTGTGGTGATGTTCAACTATGTGGCAGTAGTCTCGAAGTTATATGACTTTGACTTGAATGATATATTAGCATCCATTATATCCAACTCTCTCGTAGAGAAGCTAGATGTGGTTCTATATATAGTGGTCATTCTTGGTTGTTGATATCAGAGACGGTCAAATCAATTTCTAAGAGGAACTATTTACTTAGGTTGACTTACATTGACATCCCCATCTATTGGTTTTACTTCGTATGGTTAGTGATCATTGTTGGTCAAGCCTCATCACTAATCGATGAAATTCCATGTCTCCAAGCGTAGAAAAGGTTCAGCATATATTACCTGCTTACCAGTTCAATTCCTTCTCTTTCTTATGCGAGCATAGTTGAAGCATTTGATGTGCAGCATGGCTAAAGACAAGGCTGCTAATGTTTGTTTGGTGCAATTTTCAAGAAATAGATGGTAGAAATAACATATTGTCTTAGTCGAAGTATGTGGCTAGTTGAATTTATCTTTGCATTTCTTGGGTGGATTTTTTTCACTCGTCCTAATTTTCACAGGCTTCTGCAAATCAAAGGGAACGCTTAGCAATGACAACAGAGAGGCTAGATCAGTCAAGTGACAGAATCAGGGAGAGCCGGAGGGCTGCCCTGGAGACTGAAGACCTTGGTGTCTCAATCCTTGGGGAGTTGCAACAACAGCGTGAATCACTGCTAAATTCACATCATAGGGTATGAGACCTTTGTTTAGTGTAATTAGTTATACTTTATTTGGAGTAACTTTTTAACTTTCTTTCTGGTTCTGTTAGCCCTTTACTTTTTACCTCGCTCTCTATTTGAGCAGCTTCAACAGTTCTGGTTAGTGTAGCTACCCGAGTGGCTATGTTTAATTTTCTTGGTTTTCTTTCAGCTTCATGGTGTGGATGATGCCATTGACAAGAGCAAGAAGGTCTTGACTTCTATGTCTAGAAGGATTAGCCGAAACAAGTGGATTATGGGCTCTGTAATTGGAGCCCTTATCCTGGCAATCATTATTATCCTGTATTTCAAGCTTTTTCACCATTGAGTACCCATGTAATTCATTGGGAGCTTGGATGTAAATCTAGTTTGTTTTCTTTTATCTGGCTTTTATGCTCTACGGGTTTACTTTCAGTTGCATTTTAATGTATATCCTGAATTATTAAACCGTTTGATACTCTCTAGGGAAAATAAACACTTGATTGTCAGATTACCAGTTATCCCGCTTTCGACCTGGCATTTTGTACAGTTGCCTGCTGGCTCTCGTAGTTGATTGTGAGTGTCATTTGGCGGTTATTAATGTGGCATTGAACATCAATATAATTGTGTAAATGGTATGCATTGTAGCTAGTGAAATGGGAAATTCACGTTTATGCGATTGTCAAATAAGAAAGTGACGTATTTGTGCTTTCTAAATATCCTATACATGCTCATGTTGATCACTATTTTATTTCTAACTGGGGATGTCTTTGTCTAAGAAAGTGCTGAGAACTCCGAGATTATGAGATGTCTCGGCTCAGCTGCAAGAGAGTTTCTAAATGTGTGTGCTCTCATACCTCTCTATAACAACTATTCACTATAAAAATCAAATTTTACTTAGAACCGATTTTTATAATATATATCGTCTTCTATAACAACATTTTTCTATAGTAGTAAAAAAATATCGGAATAAATAAAGCTGTTATATATAGATACAATTTAACTTAAAATTTTGAGAAAGATTCAACAAAATATTTTCGTTTTGTAAACACTGAAAAAAAAAAAAAAAATTGTAAAAACTGGAAAACAAAAAAAAGACTTTCCTAAAATAGTGGACTACATGTGCATTAGTTTTAAAAAAATGAAAATATTTTGTTGAATTTTTTTTTTCAATATTTTACAAAAAAATTGATTTAGAACAAAAGATGCTAAGTTTATTCTCGGGTGAAAATTGGGTCGGGTGGTAGGTTTTTTAAAATGGATCAGATAAACAAAAAGAAATGGACCTTTTTCATCTGGTGCTGCCACGTGATAGTCCATCCAAAATAAGGGTATTTTTATTCTAAAGTATGATGGTAAAAGTATAAATAACTCTATAACGAAAGTTATTCTTATATAATTTTCGAAATTACACGTGTATATTTGGCCCTTTACATTTTATATTTGGTACCGTGTTTGACGCGAGCTCCACTGGGTCCCATACTCCCATCCTTGAATTACAGCGGAAAAAAAAATCTGCAAAACACACCAAAGATTCACAAAACTCTCTGGCTGCTTACACAAAACATCTTCCTTTTCTTCTCTTCCCTTCCAACTTCCATTTCTCTTCTCCTTCACGCACAGAACTCTCTATTTCTATCCTAATTTTCTCACACAGTTTAAATCGAATCGTATCAAAGACGTAACTGCGCTGATCAAACTCATGGATTCTCTCTCATCAGTTCCTCCGTCGATCGTTCTTCCTCCTGGAAAGCTTCTCCGTCACCACCACCATCAGCGGCGAATCTCCGCTCTTTCTTCTCACGCCAAGCCAAAATCGCCGTTTCCTCAATTCCGGATACCTAGAAGTTGTAATAGAATGAGGTCTATGGCTGTTTGTTGCAAATTGACTAGCGGAGGAGACAAAGAAGAAGAGGAAAGTTCTATAAGAGATGAGGAAGTGGAGAGAGCGCTTCGTATGGATGGGACTATTCCAGGAACTCCTAACGAGTTTGTAGAGCATGTCTCATCACGTGCCTATGACATGCGTAGGCATCTTCAACAGAGTTTCGATAGCAGCAGCTATGACGGTAAACCTCATTTCTCTCGTCTATTTCAGTTTCTCTTACTGTTTACATTTCGTTTGACTTATTTCTTACCCCCTTCCTCCCAATTTAGTTGTACGAAGTTTAAGAAAGAATGAATTTTAAAACTTGTGGTCGAAAATATGTCATAAAAGTTTTGTGGCTATAAATCATAAAATTAATTGTTAAATTAGAAGTTTAAAGTTAGATTTTTTTTAAAAAAATATAGAACGGAAAAGGTCCAACTATGCGAACTATGTGAAATTGAGCGGATTTGCTCGCCGTTAATACTTTGGCACAAACATGTCACTATTGTCCCATAATTGCTTCAAATATACCTTTATTTTAGACGGCCCCATATGGAGGGCATATTTGGTCCCACACGCATACTTTGAGGGCATATTTGACCCATTAACAGCTTGTTGGATGGTTGTTAACTGTTGTATCGTATCGTATTGTTACTTTAAATACGATGTTTATTTTGATTGTTACTTAAATTTTATTGTATCGTATCGTTAATTCTGTCGTTACGTAACGACGAAATGTGTCACTTTATGTAACGACATTTGGTGTGGTCGCGTCGTTACCTTGTCTTTTTCTCTCAATCTCACCCTTAATTATTGTTAAATAATTTTATTTTATCATTTATCCTACTTTTTTGTATAATAATTTTACCCTGTATCATAATTTTTCTTTATAATATTGCAAGTTTATTATTCATATTGCTGGTGCATGATATCATGAAACGACGGCAAACGACACAATCTATCCAAACATTATATTCATCAAACGATACGGTACAATACAATGCGATACGATACATTATAAAATGATATGTAACAACCATCCAAACAAGCTATAAAGTTCTTAAGTTTTTATGTTATTGAGTTTTCTTGTTTGGTTCATGACATTATATGGAAGTTTGTAATAATAAAATCCTCCTCTAAATCGATTGATTTTCTTAACTAAATTTTAAATACAAACAAAGTAAAGCAAAGTATTCAAAAACCTAAACCATTTGTTGGAACACCTATATCAATAATATGTCTCCACGACCTCCTATGCCTCAAAACACCACTAAATAGCCACTCTCGGCATCACAACAATAAAAACTAATACAATAGACAAGTCTAGCCACCATAGGCAATAAATGAATCAACTGCATTAATCAAATGTGCCGAATCTCAACTCAATAGCAAAAAACAAATTACTTAATCGCTCCTTACAAACAAAACATTATACACTTTGCTTAGGAGCAAAGAGAAGCATGGTGTAGGAACAACGAGAAGTAAAGTTTACAAAACCCTAAACCATATGTTGGAAGAGAAACCTCTCAAATTGGTCGGCCACTATGTATGTTTATCTTCCAATAATTGGTTTAGGTTTTCTATATTTTGCTTCTCTTTGTTCGTATTTAAGATTTACAGAAGGAAAACAATCGATTTGAGACGAAATTTATCATTACAAACTTCCATTATGAACCAAACAAGATTATTCAATAACATAAAAGCTTAAGAACTTTAATGGGCCAAATATTCGCTCAAAGTATGCGCATGGGACCAAATATGCCTTCCAATATGGGGCCGTTTAAAATAAGGGCATATTTGGAGCAAGTATTGGACGGTAGGGGTATGATTGTGTCAGGGTATTAATGACGGGCAAATTTCGCATAGTTCAAGGGCATATTTGGATCTTTTCCGAGTACAGAAAGGTATTAATTTTTTTTTAACAGAAAAGTATCACATAAAATGGGACAAAAGGAGTACATTAGAAGTAGCTGCAAAAACATATTAAAATAGGGGTTGAAAAGTGTAAACACTTGAATAAGTTAACAAAATTTAAATATTAAAGTTTTGAAAGTTATATACAAGAATGCTCTCAAGCATTTGGAGTTAGTTTTTCACTAACTCATATGGAATACCGAATTAGTTTTCACATAATTGGTCACTTGAGTCTAGTAAAGGAGCCAAGAATTCATACAAGGGGATTAAGAAAAATATTAGAATGTCAAAATTAGGATTTGAACCTATGATCTAAATTTTTCAACCCCTTTTGTCACTACACTTATGTCAAGGGGATTTAACGGTATATATAACTCTAGAAAATTGATTTTTACCTATGTTGCACGTACTCTTCAACAACATCGCCGGGTGTGTATCAGATCATCCAAAAGTGCAACAATATTTTTGAGGGTCCGAGTAACATAGGTTTTTACTTTTTACGCATTTGTGCAGTATAATTTTGGGGTGAATGGGATTCAGTTGAACCCCCTTGCCTCCACTTAGCTCCACCACTGCTTGAATTTATAGTCTACCTATCTCATCTCTTTTTCTACTTATACTTTCAGACTAGGTGAGGAGGCCAAGTCTTTAGGTTTGTTTAAGCAGGTTTGGACTAAAGTCGTTGCAAAAGAACACCTAACATGAAAACAAATGCCGCAAAACACCTGTTTAACTTGAACATTTTGAGCATTTCTCTTTCTAAGTGTCAAGAAGTCACTGCTTGTTGATCTTTTACTACAGTACTGGAGGCTAACCCTTGGAGAGAAACACCTAAACCTGTATACGTGCTGACCCAGAGGGAGAATCAGTTGTGTACAATGAAGACCCGGAAAAACCAAAGGTCTGTTTCTTTCTTTTAGTTTAAGCTAGAATTTTAATTACCTTTTCTTAATTAGATTCTTTTCGTCATGCAGTGAGGTTGAAAGAGAGCTTGGGATGTTGTTCTCGAAAGGTGGAAAATGGAAAAACCGTGCAAAGCAGCCAGAAGCTGACACAAGATTTCAGATGCTTGTTGAGGATATCAGAGAGGGAGTACTTGTAAGTATTTATGTTGATGCCTCTTTCAGTTTTCCATGACATTCTAAGTTTTCTTACATATTTTATAATATCTAGAGCATGGAAGATCTTGAAGCATCTGTAACCCTTCAGAAAAAGGTTTAAGTTAGTAATACATATTCTTAAAGCGAAGAAGAATTGTCGTACATTGAAGCATCACTATGTGTACAAAAATTACATCCTTAAAGTATGATGCCTGAGACTATTCTCAAACATGAGCTTTACTAAGATTTTTTAGAAAAAAAAGTATTTATCTGCGCATAGTGTTCAAGAAATGACATTTTAGTACAGCTTAAAATTAGTTGATTTTTGGGTGATTAGACATCCTCCTACATCTGCTGACCTTTGATTGATGGTTGAGAAAGTTCTCTTTCTGTAAATGGTCCAGATGCAATTCCATATATCATTTGGAGGATCAAAATTGATAGAGAGAAATTTAGGAAGGGAAAGAAAAAAATTGAAAAGTTATGTTCTTAAGCATATTGGTGTCATTATGTGAGGTCTTGAATTTCACTTGTATGAAGTTGTTGACAGTATGTCACATGAAATGATTCAGATATATTCTGGAAGCTACACTTTTACAGGTCTCATCACACTTTCTGTGCTGCCGTTGAGTGAATATGCAACAGCTGATCATTCTATTTAACTTCTTCTTGTGAAAGGAAGAGTGCATAGATAATGTAACAACCTCTCAGAGGCTAAAGCTCTATATATGCTTGCAACTCTGATGACCAGAATGCCAATACTTGGCATCCCCTTAAACCTAAATAAAAAGGAAGAAAATAAATGATGAAAATGGGAGGTCATAATTGGATGAGGGCTCTTTTATGAAAGAGCGCATTTTAGATTGTAATGGTAGAAGGTGACGAGCGCAAAACACACACTTAAATTTTGCTCGCTAGTCAAAGATAGTATAGTATAATATCGTATCCACAGGGATTGGATTTAAACAGTATTATCGTAGTTTGTAGCTAGATTGCTATCCAGGAGGATCAACAATGGAGATATATATGAATTCTAACTACAAATAACTAAGAATCTAAAGCTATTGACTAATGATAATCGCAACAAAGGTAAGTAAGGAAGTTATCAATTGGAGAAATTATGGGTTGATAGGATAGGTGCAAGATAATTATTCGGGATCTAACTCTAGATAATTCACTACTAATGTTCAAGTGAGTCTCTCGAATTCACTTAATTATCGATACAAATATTTAGTAGAACTCCTCTCTCGATTAAGTCCCAACCTCACAATATAAACCAATTTAAGCTCGGTGAAGATATGCAAGAATTCGTAATGGATTGGTCTTTAGGAGAACCTCTTTCGATTATCCTCCTAACTAGATTTAATCAAGGATTCAACTAGCCTCTTTCGATTACTTTGAAGAATCTATGAACTCAACCAACAATATAGTGCAAATATATCACAAGTTATGCCTCTCTCGATTACAAGAACAAGTGAACATAGATGCAACTATTTAATCTTCCCAAAACGATTGAAATACATAAAAATGGAGTTATAATCCACAAACAATCATCAATACACCAAATCCATCAAAACCCAAAAGGAACTACTCCATAGACATGGAGAAGTTCTTCACAAATATAACTAAAATATAGGAAAACATAAATACAATCCAAACCCGGATCTTGAGTGAGGAAGGAAGGATGAAATACTTGTGCTCTTGCTTCTCCCTCTTCAGCTTCCTTAGGTCTAAGGTATGTCACAAGTCCATCTAAAATGTTGTTTTAGTGTATTTAAGCCACCCCCAAAACAAATCCTGGACGAAACTACCCTTTTCTTAGCAAAATAAGACTCTTCCCGGACAGGACATGCGCGGTCGCGCACCTGGGGACCTGCTCGCGCACTTGGTCACGCATTTTGCACATTGTTCTGCCCCAAGTGCGCGCCCAGTGCGCGATCGCGCACCTGGGTGGTATCAGTTGGGAATTTGGGAAATTGTAAAACATGAAAGTTGTATTCCTTTTAAATAACTTTCCAACGATATATTGTGGAGCCCAAACGGGTTTCTGAGCGAAAAGTTATGTGCATTTTATTGGCCAATGCGCAGTATGTCTGCTCGATTTTTCGTTTCGTTCTTAAAGCGCACTATCATCCGTTGATCCCCGAACACGATTCCAACTTAATCCTTGGGCTTTTACTCAGACTTAAAAGCTCCAAAATAGCATGAATTCATGTCACAACATCTACATAGCTCGGAATCACTCCTACAGGGCATAAAACACACAATAAATGCAAAACACGCCTAATTAAAGCTCAACACAAGTAAAGTGCAGTGAATTAGAGTGCAATAAGCGACTAAAACACTGGATTATAGCCTACCATCAGAAGGTTGGAGCACTGTGAGCTTTAGATGAAAATACTTATGCTTCTAATTTTCTAGACTGCAAGTACATTTCTCTTTGGAAAATTTTACTGAAGTTAAATTGCTGAATTGTTTGAAACTTTTGAAAGAGATGGAATGGAGTTTAATCTGTCAAAGTGTTGGTCTGGTGATTGAATATGGAAAGAGGACAGTGTCATGTTGGTGGAATATGCATTTATTTATGTAGACGTGTTATTGCTTTCCACTTTCCCCAGGGCTCATTCCATCCCAATGGAGGGCAGCTCGTATATCGTTTATAGAATGCCTAGAATATTAAGTCCGCCTTTCCACAAAGCAAATTACTCCTTTGATTTATATTAGAAAGTGTTCAGTTCTTGTCCCTCTGATTGGTCTTTCATCAGCATCTTTATCCAGAATTTCTAGAATTTTTGGTTTTCCATCATCTTTCCAGGTCCAGTTCTCATTCTCCAGTAACTTGACATTCCTGCCTAAATCAAAGGCTTAGTCATTTTGCAGCAGATAGATCTTGTTAGCTTTTTCTATTTTATTGTTCTTTTAAATGTTTGAGAGCGTGTCAGTGCCCTGTTTAGTGACAAGTTTATTGACAAATATTATGGGTAGATTGTGAAAGGCTCGTGTGTCTAGAAGAGTGAACGTGCTAATCATTCATATTGTGATTTTCGTACATAGATAAAGTTGGTAATTCACCATTCTCGGTCTTTTGGCTAAGATCAAATGAAGTTAGGAACTAATATGTTAAACTCTTTAAAGGTATTTGAGGATGAAAATGAGGCTGCAAGATACTGTGACTTGCTTCAGGGAGGTGGTCAAGGCTGTGAGGGTGTTGCTGAGATCGAAGCTTCATCAGTAAGAAAAAAGCTACAAAGCTACTTTCAGGAGAGTTATTTTCTAGTCGTCCTAATTGCAATTTGGCCCTTCTATAGGTATTTGATATATGCCGGAAGATGAGGGCGCTTGCAGTTCTATTTCGTCGGGGCAGAACACCTCCTTTGCCTGAAAGCCTCAAGCTAAACTTAAGGGCACGCAAGCGCTCGCTCGAAGACCAAGAGAACTTAATGTAACGTTCCTGCATTTGATTTACGCCGAGTACAGGTGATCTCAGTTGTCTAGTATGCAAAAACATATTGGACACAGTAATATAATTCTTCTCTGTGCAGCTATTTTAGCCTGTTTAGCTCTGACATGTATATAATGTCACATAACTCTAATGGTTAATGCATATAAAGGATTCTCAGCCGTATTCCCACTCAAATCATCAGTGCTGACTTTTACTAGTTTATATGAGATGTTACAAAATAGCTGGAATAACAGGACTAAGGCTGACAAGTGGGCCGGTCCAGGCCCGGGACCGCGGCCCATGTGGGCTTCTGGGCCTAAACGGTCCTTAACCGGATAAGCCCGTGACCGTAGAGTTGGGCCGGTCCTTCACATTGAGCCCACGAGACCGGGACCGTTTGAGACCGGGACCGGACCGGTCCTTGGCGGGCCTAAACGGTCCCAACGGTCATAATTTTAAAAAAAAATCTGACTGTTTGGGATTGTAAAAATCTGGCCGTTGGCCTTTAAAAAATAGCCATTGGCTATTTATAAAATAGTCATTTAACCCCCCTCCCCCCCAACTTTGTTTTAACCCCAAACTTTTTATAATTACACTTTTTCCCCTTTTTCAACTATAAATACCCCCTCATTTTTTCATTTTTCTCACAAAATCATCAATCTCTCTCTAATTTTCTTCTATAATTGCTACTGTTGCTTACTTTATTGTTACAATTTGTGAAAAAATTGTGAAGTTGGTGAATTGAAATATTCAAGTCTTCAACGATAATCAATTTTAAACAAGTTATTCGTCAATTCGGTAAACTCGTTCCAACTCTTAATTTTTAATATTATAGTTTTGTTTGTTTGTTTTATTTTCTATTATTTGATTAATTACGATGTCTTCCTTAAAAAAAATTTTGGTAAAAATAAGGGAAAATCCAAGAGTGGCGAATCTAGTGGCCAATTTGTTCCTCCTCCACTTCCCCCGGCTCCCCGACCCAAACCCGTTCCCGTCCTACACCTGTTATTCTTGATAGTGATAATAGTTTATTACAATTTACTGAGAGTCAATTTTGCCATAATGTTGGAGCTGGTGAATAATTAGACCATGAATTAATGAATACTCTTTATTCTAATCCAACTATTGATGAAAATGATGAGGAGGAAATAGTTTTTGATGAAACGCAACCGGATGACGATACACCCACTAGTCCTGCTCCTGAAGTTAACCCAACTAATGATAATCCAAATGATGCCCTGTCTGACCCTCCTGTTACTAGCCCTACTTTTTCCAGACAACGTACCAAACGGACAGAAACATCTATTGTTTGGCCATTTTTTACTCAACTAATTCCACAAAATAAGGCTGAGTGTAAAATTTGTGGCAAGGAATTAACTTTTAAATATTTTGGAGGTCGGGGAGGACGAGAACTTTGGTTAGACACATATTGATACACCCTCAAGATAAGGCCAAATATCTTCGTATGAAAGCCTTGGCCGAGGGGACAAGTGTACCTACTCCTAGTCAGGCTGACCCTATTACCGGGTCAAATTAATTTTAACCGGGAATTAGCACTGTTACCGGTGGTATTTTATATTATGATCCAAAAAGAGATCGGGAAGAATTGGCAAAAATGGTTACTGTTATGTGCTTACCCTATAGTTTTCCTTATAACCCTCACTTTGTGCATTATATTAGAATTTTTTTTAATCCTACTTATAAAGGTTTTTCTCGCACAACTGTAAAGAGCGATATTTATAAATA